AGGTTTACTACAAGACTGGTAAGAGGCTACACCCGTCCTCCCACTTATGAACGACTAGTTGGAAATCGTCCATCACTTTATTTATCTCGGGAGTTGTTTCAGCTTAAGAGGACTGAAGGAAGAAATATCAACGCGTATCCACAAGGCTTTCGCTAACCTACGTCAATTGTGGCGTTGACTGAATCTCAGTCGCTCTTTGAAAGGCCGCGTTTATAAAGCCACAATACGCCCTGTCCTACTCTACGGCTGTGAGAGTTGGCCCCTCCACACAGAAGATGTACGGAGATTAAGTTTCTTTGACCATCGTTGCTTTCGCTGCATCGCAGGAATACGTTGGCGACAGCGAATCACTAACGATGAGGTTCGCCGAAGAATCTTCACCGCAGAAAATCTCACTCGTCCTCTGAGTGCCATCATCTCGCTCCGGAGAATTCGATGGCTGAGACGTGTGTTGCGGATGCCGGCTCAATGACTGCCCCATCGCGTTACGTTTGCACAAACAGACACTAACTGAAAGCGGCGACAAGATGGACAAAGAATAACCTGGGACAGAACGATGAAAGCGTTTACCTAGACACTAGCTCTGGTGAGACGCTCTGGACTGCTAGGTTGGAGTTCCAAGGGCAAAGAACATCTATGGCTTGAAACACATGCAGACATTACTGGTGAACGGCGTCAATGGTGCACCTGTTGCCAGGCTCAGTAGTTGATTCATATCTAAACCGGTTTCACATCTCTTTCTTCATATGTTGTGGTACATCTACCAACTCTATGTAATTCATTACGTGATATATATATATATATATATATATATATACGTTTGTGAACATATAACAAAGGCTCATTAAGCAAATTTTATTGTATTTTCTAATATAGTTAACTGCATCCACAGCTTGCCTTTTTTCTAATTGATTCCAATTTCCTCAGTGGCTTTTTAATCCGATTACGAGTTAACGCTATTAGATTGTGACCACTATAACTGGTCCGGCCACAGACTTTCAAACGATCGAAGATATGATGGATTTGATCAGAAATTACTTTTTGTTCAAAAATTATGTTTGTCTGAACTACTGCCATCTGTTTCAGTTGGGCTACGTTTTGCGCCCACCAATTCTGACCGCAGTCTAATAGTCTTTTATGACCATCAGCACGTAAATAAAGATGAATTATATCAGTTTAAGACGAATTAAATATTTAGAAGTAAGCCGCCACCATCGCACGCTGATTAACAAATCCTGGTTTTAGGGCATCATCATTGTATGAGAAAAAGTCTGGTGAATGAGAAAATTAGTAAACCAATAGTGAATACAACAAAATGCCAGACCAAACAAGACTGACTTACCAGACCTTGATCGAAATATCCCCGCAAATATTCATCACAGATACTGAGAAACGTCCAAAAGGCCTCTTCCTCCGGCATATGGATGAGCAAAGCCGAGGCAATCGGTGCATGTGCCTGACAGTACCCGACTTCAGGGCGCACGGAGCAATAAGCCATGAGAACATTAAACAGCGCCTGTTGCCTGTCACATCAGTTTTGAAAGATAGAGTTTTGGAACTAGCGTGTATTCCATTTACCACTCCATATTTCAAGCTGAAAATCACATTTTACTGGTCTCCGGAAACAGCGATTCCTCAGAGACTTCATTTTAGCCCTTTGGGAAGGTCGATCAGTCTATTTAAGAGAATCTAGGGCCAAAACAATACTACGTTGCTTAAATTCATGGTAGGAAGATTGCCACAATCATGCGTTTTTCAATTCAGAAAAGCTTTTCTTGAAAGCACAGTAACAAAGAACCTTGAGGTTACACGATCCATGCACCGAATACGTCTTATCGCCTTCTAATTCTACCCGTTTGCGGATTCGGGCATGCGTACTCACACGGATCTGTATCTACTTTGGGGAACCGAACCAATTTCTTCTCTTTTATACTTCTTTTAAGCGTTCATGTGAATTTTGTGCATAGATAGAATTTACTGTACTCTCAAACGCTTCACAATTGAAAACTATAGTTACACTCTACGATACTTTATAAAACATTGCTAACATTGAATATACTGTTCTATGATGAGCGTTTCTGCCACAACAAATTGAAAACCATAACCCGAAACGTGAAATTCAGTGGCTTTTAACCATCAGCTAAGGGAAAAATTACCAGTTTTGAAGATTAGATGTCTGGTCAACCCGTAATTAATACAATAAATCCGCAGTGATGAAATAATTTAGGAGAATCCATTGGACTAGAACTCAAAACACTCACTAGGGTCTATATAAAGCAAAACTATTTCCAAATTGGAGAATTTCTTAGCGCACATGTTTGTTATGTGCAGTCAGCGTGTCGTTTATCGATCGAAATCCTTTGAATCAGTGCACAACTGTTTTGCAGGAATCATCATCAATACACGTCCAATGAATCCACTCAGGCACTAACTGGAAGCTGTTTGGTTGATAATGAAGGCAAATATCATGAGGGTAGTACTTCTTTTAGCGCCTATTTGTCATTGCTCTTTTCTAAAATATCAGACCCGAAACCACGTTAGTATGACTAAATAAATAACAATCTTTGCATATCATTGAGTTTGGTGACCTATAAGGCAGTTGTCAAAGCATAGCATTTTTATCTCAGTTTAGCTGGAGAATAGATTTTTATATTGACGGGATTCTTTCATTGGATAATCAAGTGAAGTTAGGAAAACACCAGCTAGTAAATAAAGCAGGAATTCATCTAGAAAGTGAAATAGATGGAAAAATGGAAAGAAAGCCAGCGGGTAAATATCAGGGCGGGAATGCAAATAAATTGACTTGGTACAATTCGGGAAGTGGGTGAAACAGATGACTGATGTCTTAACTGCACACAGAATGAGAAAACATAAGACTGTGAGACCACGAGAGAGAGTGGGGGGGGGGTGGCTAAGCGTTCAGACTGGATTACCTGCTTGATATCTGCCAAAATATATCAAACTGGAGTGCACTCTACTTACCCACAGCCACCAAAAGTATTAAACAATTCATGGTTGGGAAATTGTCGATGGATATCTCGCTTTATTTGATCCACCAGATCGTTTGACACAGGGAAATCGAGGAGTTTCTATGGCGGAAATAAATTAATATGACAGGTTGTAAGTTTATTGCCAAATGAATGCTGGAGTGACATTTCTTTCATACATCGGTAGTTAACTTATGATACCCATGTATAAGTATCATAAAACATTTTGAGGTTCTTGAGAGTGAACATGAAAATTAAGAACCGGATAACCGAAAAGTAAGTTGCTGATAATCTCACACTCGTGGGGTTTAATCGATTTCCTAAATGTATTTTTCTGGCTATGTCCTGCTCAGTTCATAAGTCCTGCTTCTGGTTTTAGTAGCTAAATATGGATTGTACTCATTGTTCACTCTCGGGTACCAACGCTCCCTTAGTTACCATTTTATTTTAAGAATAAACGCTCACAAAATTTAAAAAATCGCGCCTCCATTAAAACTTCAGAATAAATAAAAGTGTTCGTTATCGTAATCCACTGAAATTGTGTCATCTCCATTTCAGCCCCCCCCCCTCATCCTCTGTTATTATTGTTCTTTCATTCTGGTATATGTTGGAAGGGGTATAATGTGCTTTAATGGGATCTTTGACCACTCAAGCGCACTGCTGTTTATTGAGCTTATACGTGAGGAAGTTTTCCGTTGCAGCAACGTTCAAGCGGTATAGGTGGGCATTATAGCGTCTGTAACAGGTTTGTCCGTTCGAACCCCACTCTCGCTGATTAGCTTCTTCACCTCTTTGTATCCTATGTCGGCCCGATGATTGGTTTTCACACTAAATTCTTCTATTAAACTAAAGGAAACACAATAATGACATCACTTTACGCGTCAGCGTCCCTCCTCGTCCTGTACAAAGGTCTGTAGTTTTGGAAGCGATGTGTGAAGTGATTCAGAGAGAAAAGTTGTAAATGAGGCTGAATTCAGTCACATATACAAGGATGTGGTGTGTATCGTATATTTACCTACGGAGTTTCAGTTGCCTATGGATGCAAATTCAAGGATGATTCTCAAAGCCCAATAAACCACTGTACCTGATACTCTCCCGGATTTTGTTGTTTCAAACAATGACTGCCACAGAGATATTGCCACACTCGGGGACGTACAGCAGGCGGAATTCCTTTACGACACCGTTCTCGGAGATGATGAGGTTTTCGACTCATCCATTGATTCCAATTTGATATAACCTCAAGCCATTTGGTTTCGCGTTGACGCAACTGTACCAGCTGAGTCTGTGTGAAACTTGACGGGCAAGGAACGGTGCACATTTATAATGAAAAGGGGCAGCCGTTCTTTTCTTAAAGCATTATTTTATAGTATAATTATGGCTAAATGTAGCTATTCATAAAATCGGTAACCTGAACGGTTTCGAACATCAAAAGATTCGTTATCTTGTCCGTCTGAGCTGAACAGTACTACCATTATTGACCTCCCGCTCTGTGCGCTTGTATTCATATTCATGCTGAGTTTGATAGTAAACAATCTGCGAAGCTGACGGTTCGCCAATTCACAATCAACAGCGACGTCTTCAAGCTGGGCGAAGCATTTTGAGGCTACCAGAATCGGCTTTCTACACAGCTATTCCAGCACACGTCTCATGGTCTGTCTCAGCAGACCGACCCACTGAGGCGGAAATCCGTAAGGGGTTCCAAGCCTTGGGACGTCACAAAGCACCGGGCTCCGATGGCGTTCCCCCAGACCTACATAAGGATGGTGAAATAAAGCTTGTTAGAGAAATACAAGTTATGGTCTCTAATTTTTGGAATACTGAGCAGATCCCTCCTCGTGGGGGAATCGATTGTTGACCCAATATTCAAAAAAGGCCCGCGCAGTGACTGCGCCAATCATAGGGGTATAAAACTGATCCCGATGGTGTCAATGCTGTTGGCGTCTGTCATTCTCCGCCGATATTTAAAGACGCTTGAAGAGCGGACCCGCGGGAAGCACCTGGGTTTCGTGCCGGTCGTGGATGCATCGATAAAATCTTCATCTTCCGACAGTTTCTAGAGTACCGTCATGCTTATTAAGGACCACCGAACATTGCATTCCAAGACATTCGCGCGGTCTTCGACTCTGTCGATAGGAGCGCATTATGGAACTGTTTATTGAGGAATGGAATACCTGAAAATTATGTATCGATCCTCAAAAAGTTGTATCCTCATACCTCAGATCGGGTTATGGCCTATGGTCAGCTTTCGCCGCCCTTCGCCGACTCCAGTGGAGTTCGACAAGGCTACTTATATCCCCATTCCTTTTCAACTTTATCATGGAGGATGTTCTGCAGAGTGCTTTGTCCGGTCTAGCAAACGGTGGAATCGAATTCCTCCTAGGGGGCAGAGTCCTTCACTTANAGACAGTCCAAAGCGCTTTGAGGCGCTGGGCGACCGAAATATCCAGGTATGGTATGTGCTTTGCACCTTCCAAGTGCAAAGTGCGTGCTCAAGACTGGCAGGACCCTGTGTCTGTACTCACTCTTTGTGGTGATCAGCTGGAAGTAGTTTAGAGCTTTAAGTACCTCGGGAGCTTGATCGCAGCTGATGGTAGTGTTGGGGAGGAGGTCACATCAGTAATAGCGAACGCTAAGCAGCTTTTACAAACCTGCGACACCTGTGGCGCCGCCATGACATCCGACTATCCCTGAAGGGAAGGGTGCACATCGCCGCGATTGGTGGCGTTCTACTTTACGGTTGCGAGACCTGGCCCCTCCGCTTTGAGAATTCTAATCAACTTTTTGAATTCGATCACAGATCTCTCCGAAGCGTTTCTCGTGTCTGGTTGGAACATAGGGTGAGTAATAAGAAGGTTTGTAGTCGTGTGTTGTGTGTGGATAGTCGCCCTACATCACCTCCGATGGCTTAT